TAGCTATCACATATTATCTTTTACAAACTGAATAAGTTTGGAGAATTATTTTGAATGTTCAATATAATCTCATCCTCTTGTCTTTGATACATTATATGGAATATAATTTTAAACTATTATCGACACGTGTTGATATATTCCATACACAAAATTTCTAGAGGATGAGATTATATATAGGCGACGGTGGTAGTGGTATAATACTGACATAAAGGTGGTAATATTAATAACAATTCATACTTCATATACTGTATTAGGGATAAGAAAAGAGGATCAGGTGAGATATCGTACACACGAATCAACGAAACACATACCGTACACATCAACTAATACACATCCTTCAACTCATTCATCCATACATCCACAGTCCATCCAATGTCTCTCTCGCTTTCTGAATCGAACATATTCTGCGTTGCATTACATTTGTCTGAACAAAAGTGTAAATGGCGAATACATGACTTTCAAATCCGTATAACAAGATCGATGAAGGATGTATTGATAAACGTGTTCAACTGTCGGGGGCAGTTGATGTGCCCTGCCTCAAACACCCTAACGGGTCATCACTCTCCCAAGCGTCTTAAGAGAAACTAAATATGCGAGCCTATGTGTTAGAAGTCAATCAGATCCATACCATCGAGAAACAATTAAGAAACCTTAAAGCATATTTCCATAGAACGACAAGCATTATTCTAGGAACCAATTATGGTAACAGCACACCTTTAAAGTGCTAAAGGACAAAAGCTCCGATGACATCATTTTATAGCCACACGATGTTGGCTTTATTCTGTTCATCAGGACACGTTGCACAGTGTATCTGTCCCCGACCTCTCTTCACACAGAATCGACAAATAGCATGGTAGTATTGCACAGCCCCACGTTATAAAACATTTCAATCGATACATCGAGAAATCACGGTATCTCGGCTCTTCTATGACGGTCGGATCTCAAAAAAGCCATGAAGCACAGAGCACATTCCCATGTTGAAACAGTGAAGGCGTTAAGCCAATAGTCACAGAATTAGGTTGCGCATCCCCATTATGGTCGGAGTACGGTCATGAATTAATCCTTCCCAATGAATATAGCTTAATGAGGGAACGTGTTTTAATCAGGGTGGAGGAGGAAGGCATCACAGCACGACAGGTATCGTGACCAGTTGACGTGCCTCACGCGTAAGGGAAGAGAGAGTTCAGTCAGATGTCAGTGTCGTATAGTATAACGTGTATCTGCATGAATGTTGAAAATGTTTTCGTCTTGTCAGACATTGCTTTCTGTCATTGTTTCAAGCCATAGTTATTGCCGTATGTAAACAAATATTGTTAGAGATAGTGATTCACTACAGGTAAACAGTCTATTGAGGAAATGGGGCAGTTTGCTTTCGGAGACCAAATATGACACATTATGTTTAAATGTTAGAACATGCAAGATCATTTATGAACCTGAAATATTTCATTTTCAATTATCCTTACTCATAACCTTAAGTGCCTTTTTCTATCAGTATCTGATATGAAACATAGACACTTCATTAAAAAACATTGAAACAAATTGAAACAAATTATCCCAATACAAATATAGTCTTCTGTTAATTATCCCAGTTATATTGAAGAATTGATCCCACCTGTGCAGTCTGTTTTGCTTTGAAGTTCACTCACTGCAAATACGAATCAATTAGGCCGAGAACCATCTAAGATGCTTATCGCCTCCCATTCATATTTTACAGGTCTACTTGCCAGTGCCAGAAGAACGTGGTAGCTAAGGAAGGTCATGCGTGATACCGTTACCCAATCGAGTGGAAGACTAAAAAGCTTCCAGAACGGCATATTTTAGGCATACAACGTAACTTGACCTGCTATCTGTTTGTTTGTTTGTCGAAGAATAGATTACTGCATGTTTATACAGTAAACAAAACCGTTTCCATTATAGTTTAGATGTCCATTATACGATTCCGACTCTATCCTAAGCAAGTGTATGAACCTCTATAAAATAGTGATGACACCAGGGCCCACTTGCACAAAGCGATCTTAGCGCTAAGATGATCGTAACTCCCATACTTTAACATAGGCTTACAATAGTTGTAGCGCTAAGATCGCTTTGTGCACGTGGGCCCAGGAGTTCGCGAAAGGGTGTGCGTATCGTCCGGACACGTTAGTCCGGAAATCTCGCCTTGCTGACGACTACTGGTGGTAATGCCTATTAATAATTAATTGGTCATAATTATTGCTTACACACGAATCGTCAAATCTGGCACGTGTTAATCCGGCCAGTACCATCCAGATTAACAGGGTTTCATGACTCACATTCGTCTGTTTATTTACCTGTTACTTTGTCCATCCGCTCTGATTGTTTTGGGCTAACTTCGGTAGTTTAGTGGGTAATGCGTTTGCTTGTTACTAGGTTCAATTCTCAAAACTCATGGTTCAAGATTTGAAGGTCAGTTGTGGTATCTTATTTATGATAATACTTAAACCTCACTCACTCACTTATTCACTCACTCACTCACATTCCATCACCGTGTCTTCCTGACAACATGGTACTGCGTTTAACCAGGATGTAGTTCACCCTATCCCATATCATCAATATATGTGGTCATTTTAGCAATCCCCAAACCACGAAAGTCGGTTGGGTTATTCCTCCATCCATCGTTCCATGTGCCGTCCAACCCCTCTCTTTCTCTCTGTTTTGCCCCAACACCCGATTACATATATCAGCCCGTCTACCTGCTGGGTGTTACTATCGTTATCTACCTACCAATTGAGTCAGTTGTTTGTTTGTTGGTTGGTTGGTTGGTTGTTTAACGCCGCACTCAGCAATATTTCAGCTATATGACGGCGGTCCGTAAATAATCGAGTCTGGACCAGACAATCCAGTGATTAATATCACGAGCATCGATCCACGCAAATGGGATCGATGACATGCATCAACCAAGTCAGCGAGCCTGACCACCCGATCCCGTTAGTCGCCTTTTACGACAAGCATGGGTTGCTGAAGACCTATTCTACCCCGGAATCTTCACGAGTCCAGTTGTTTGTTGTTCAATTTAGCTGATTACCTGGCTGTAAATCTGTTTCAATAAGCGGTATGTCTTATCTGAAGTCGTATATTAGGATACTGTTGAAAATATCTAAATTGCAATAAACAAGAAAGAAAACACCAATTGTAAATGGTGGCTAAAAATGAAGCAAACAGGAAATGGTTATTCGATGGCGTATTTGCTGCGGGTACCATAGTTGTTACTTTTCACCTTAACTGTGCAGTGTTTCGGAGACTGTTTTCATCGTAGTGACGTTTGTAATCCAATTGTGCTTGCGTACACTTTTTTTTTGCCCGTCAGTTCACTTACAACTCAGTCTGGAATAAGACATTTAATACACATATATGTGATATAAATGTACACGCGTAAACGCCTAAAGGTCAACTATGTAGCATATAGATGGCAATGAGATAGGCTATTTGACACACTGAACAAGGCGAAGGTGTCAGACAAATGAGAATGAGAGGGTGTCGGGTTTAGTGACACTTGAGCATTATTTCAATTACATCACATCGTAGATAGGATAACCCAGCGTTTAGTGAGTGAGGGTGGTTTTACGCCGCTTTTAGCAATCTTCAACGTGACGACCGAACGAGTTAACCCACAAGGCTACGCCAGCGTAAAGCAGGTCATATATGTATAGCACTTTAGTGAAATGTTTGGTTCTGAGAAAGAAAGGATCATAAAATGAGATTCGAACTCACGACCAACACATATCTTGGCACGGGTTAGAGATGCCGTTGGGCATAGTGACACAGGTGGAGTATTCGTGTTAATACATCATGTCAACCAATAACGACAATGTAAGAACAATTTCAAAACCACAATGGCTGCAACTTTTTTTTGCATTAATATTTCTGCAGAATGGTGTCCTGACACCTCGAAAACCCATATGACAGTTATTAAAAGAACTTCATAATGCCATTACCATCATGAACATGTCCATATTGTGTCAAGTTAAAAACAATATTTACATTTCAAACAGATACAGAGTGGCGTTGCGATGCATTATGCAATGAGAATGGTTTTTCTATTCTGATGCATCGCTATCCTCTCGGTTTCAAATCAATCTGTGACTGAATATGAAATAGGTTCAATACCAAAAAATATGAATAAAGACCTCGAGCTGATCAATACGTTGGGAGCAGCTATCATTTGTCAAGACCGTATAGATTTATGAATTCTCGAACCGTTTATGTAACACGGAGCTCGATGATGCAACCTTTCATAAAATCGGATCGATAATTAAAAAGTACAAGCTATTTCCGTCATCAATATCTGTGAATGGCGAACACTGTAGCACACAATTATTTAAAGCGCATTATGGCGTAGAACCCCATATAAAGCAAGATACCATTGGCCGTGAATAGGAAGAGGATTTCGCTGGGAATCAGCTTCGCCGTCATTTTCACGACGCTATTCACTGCCATATTTGCTCTCTTCAGACTCAAGCTAGTAATCGAAAGTAATCTCAGGGCGAGATTTCAAGCATAAGTGGCAACGTAAGAGTCAACATTGCCTTCTGCCTGAGTAAGGTCGGGGGCGAATCCTCTGGGGTAGAGACTACTTGTGTGTCCCGGGGAAGGGGGTTGTGACTTCGGAAGAATGGAAGGAGCGTTTTTAAACTGGCATCATTCTTTGTAAACGATCTTTAGCCATGTTAACTTAAACTCTACCTCAAGGCATCGAAAAGGCAATAAATTTTAAACATCCACCATGTAGCTTGTCTGTATTTACTTCAATGGGATAACGACTATGATGAAACCACAGATTGAACAATTACATGTAAACTGGATTCTGAAATGAGGTCTGGAATTAGATTATGTTGGCATTGCTTCAACTGACCAGCTCAGAGCAGCTGGTAGCAGAGTTGAAGACCGATACTGAGACTTGCCAGATTTGCCACACTACAAGCGGGCGGGGATGCAGGCAATTGCCTTAAACCAAGACTACACCGATTTATTAACAGACTCACCTTTGTTGCGTGTGCAAGGCTAGTGATATGATAATATCCTCCCGTGAACGTCCATTGTTATGTGTGTGAAGGTTAGCAATACACCAAAATACAACTAGGATCCACAAAAAGGCATTCCTTGGGGAATTCTCCTGTACCCCTGTAAGATACTTGAACGTAATCACCAGCCAAGAAAGACCATAGACAGACCCGCGCTGTCGATCGTAGGAATTGCAATGCAGAGGGCGTTTTCACTAGCGCGGGCACTAAGGCGGCGTGATGTTCAGAGAGCGTCTCGGATGGAAGGACCATGGCCACTACTTCCCCATACAACGCTGATCCCGTCAGCTTTTTCCGAGTGATAGCACTGCCGGATCAGACCTATGCGCCATGTTTTATCCTACTGTTTTCTTTCCATTTCTTGCGAGTCGGCCTTGCGCCTTGAGACTATCACGTGGATAGAATCTGCCATTGATTATCAGCAAGCTCATCAAGTCAACACAGTGTTATCAAACTCTTACAACCTTCCCACGCTGTTCCGATACTTTTTACGTTGATCCTGTATTGCTGAGGTTGCCTGGGATCCGTACCCGTGGCTTTACGTGAATCATTACCTAAGTAATGACCGCTAGTTTCCCTGTACTACTCTTCTGTTGACGGCGTTGATCGATCTCAACCAATGCTAATTCTCATTGCCTTCTCACAGTCAGTGAGTTTGTCTGATCCCTAGTCTGCCTACACCCACCTTACTTCCTGTATCCCTCGTCGTGTATATATCTCCACACATTTGTCCAATACCAGAAACTTCACACAACTATAAATATAATACACGGGGCACTATGCTATGTAAATATGCCTAGCGCAATAACAGTTCATTACAGACCGCCTCTCAGAAAACATAGAATAATACGATAAACAAATTTTCAAAGTGGCACCCCAAAGGCGACGGGGAGAGTAACCGCCCCTAGCAGAGGAGAGGTAAATAGGGCTAATAGTGGTTGTGTACTTCTCTGTTTCATTGGCACCGTTGGTTGCTGCCAATCGAAGATTTTGGTTCCAAATCGGGCGTTAATGAGATATTTGAATGCACAGCGCGCCTTCGATAGCCTAGTGTGTTATAGCGGGCAATAATGAACCCTGAAGTTTGACAGATGTGTTGTTTTATATCTTCAAGCTGAGCATGAGAAAGATAAGAATACAGATATGTGCACTTAAGCCATGTTATTTCAGGACAACACTGAGGGAAGAAATAGACCAGAAGTTTTGAAGTTAATCACCTGAAGTATCCGAGATGAGATGAGACTTGTTATTGAGTGAGACAAGAACTTAGAAGTGCGTTGATGCTCTCATGTCAAAGAAAACTACAGCTCTTAATTTTCTTTATATCAGAGGAATGACCCGGGAATGTAAATGTATGTATGGTTCTCAATGCGATGTCATGGGAGGTCGAGGTCTCGTGGCACCTTTTTTCAAACGGCAGCCAATTTTTTCACCCTGTACGGTTCAAAACCAGCGGAACATAGAAATCAATGCTACTTAATTCCGTTTGAGATGCGTTTGTGATTCATGCATTTACAACACAGATTTGCCCGTTGTCATTAATCGGAGCCAGGCAATACCTACGGGGAGGTATCCCATGCGGACTGGAAATCAGTTTCTAATTAAACTCATGTAATTGCTTTTGTAACAAACACAATCGATAGCCTGGCGTCTTGCACGATATAGACTGCACCATCAATGTCTGTTTAGGACTTCTCCCGTTTTCAGAATCTTTCTTTGAGTCAGCACTTCTGAGAGGCCAACGTGATGTTACAGAAAGTCATGCGGCGCCACGAACGGCACGTGATTCCAGGGGCATTTACTTAATTTCATTGGCTACAGGAACCTCGATGGATGAGATAGAGTCTTATTGCTATGATTTGTTTCAACTTTTTGTTTTTCATTTTTTTAATGCACTTTTTCTTAAAAGTTCATCAACATCGATCGAAATCATATAATAACGGAACAACGTGCCTGTGCGTGACTGCACGAAACCTCGGATTCATCTATACTACTCCAAAGAAGTTAAAGAACACCCGATTCTTTCATATACCATCGTTAATCCGGAAAATGAAAAAGCATTTATACATGCACTAATTCACACAATAGTTTCTGTTAGGAAACGTGCATTCATTTTGTCCAAGTTAAAGACGCCATGTGGCTCAGGTGGGTCCACAAGGAGTGTTGTCGAATTCATGTACATCGCATTCTAACATATATAATTATTATTTCAACATTTATTATACATTAGATAGTTTAACATCACATCCATTAACCAAAACTTTCCCTACCAACCTCAACGTGTCTAGAAGAGGCGGATCCAGGGATTTTGAAAGAGTTGGGTGCACATACATATATAATACCCAAAACATCCCCTGCACCCCTCCTCTGGAATCGCCAGTGTACGTACCATGAACCTCATTAGTCATGAAACCTGCATAACGGACAAATCTTTTCGAATATGATTTGCATAATAGTTCTTCGTTAATGTGCTTCGATAATCCGGACATTGGTCCTTCTTGAAGACCTCGCTGATGCATATACAGTCCTGATTAACGGGGTTTCAATGTACACTTTTCCTTAATTTTGGAATCGAGTGACGCGTCAAGAAATGCATTGGGTTTGATAACCGGAGCCGAGTATTATTCACTGAAAGTGGTTTCTGTGGAGGTGTAACACGGGTCAGACTTTCTGATGCATGTAATTGTATCCCAATTGCATAGATCGATGCTCATGATGTCAATCACTGGATTGTCAAGGCTCTTTTATTTACAAACCGCCGTCATATAGCTGGGCTATTGGAGTGTGGCGTTTAAAAAAATAATAGTTTCAGCGGTTCTAAAATAATAGTTTAGGCTGGTGAGAAAAATGACATACTCCGTAACAACGTGTCGAGTGTCTTTATTGCCATCATAGACCTAAGGTACCACGCGCCTAGTCCTAATATAGAAGGCATTGTACCCACTGTTGACTCCTTCTAAACAGCCATGAGTGGGGTGTTCAGAAGGGTCTATATACTGATAACGATCTTAGTCGTGACTCAGAATAATACATCCTCTCTTATGCATCGATTTGAAACACCGTCTCTTTCAAGTGGGAGTCGAATGCACGAGATACAGGGTTCCTTTCCACAGTGATATGTAACACCCCTTCTGATTGGTTGGTGCCATCACATCGGTGGTCTCCACATCAGTGACAGTTAATGGAGAGTGCCACGGGAAATCCCTTGCAGTTGTGAGAATTCCGTGAGGCTTTGAGTGGCTTGATAGTGATCCACAAATGATTGGACGGATATGAATCAAATTAACAGCAAGCTGATAGATATTAATGCGATGGGTGTTTGTTGATAACCTTTGTAATGTTAAAGGTGGTCAGAATCGGTATCAAGGTTACTATCTCCCAACATCATTATATTGGAACTCTTCAGTGGAGGTTTCTCGCCATTGCCATTAGAGTTGTCTCCCTTCGTCAATTAACACGATAACGAGGGATTTTACTTTGCATCTAGCATTGGTTCTGAAAGGTATGAGGAAATAGCAATCAGACGAAGTATATGATAGCGTATTAATATAGTTTTGATAGAATGTGTAACCAAGTTACAAACAATACAGAAAAGGGTCGCGGTGAAACAAAGCAAGCTATTTCGAAAGATCAACACTGACGAAACAGTGAGGTGAGGTGAAAATGGGGTTTAACGTCGCGTCCAAGATTATTGCACTTATATAGCGACGTGCATGTACGTGTGTGTGTTTGTGTGGCTGCTTGTACTAGTCCGGACTGATGCCGATTTATAGCGCCAGCTCACTGAGATACCATGTCGCAGTTTAACATGAATATCCCACTCAGACACAGTATACTGACTCCGAGCCGACCAGTCCATGTTTTAGCCCCTTCATGCCGAGCGCCAGACAGGGTAACAACAAGTACAATCTTTTAACGTCTTTTGGTATGACGCAGCCGGGGATAGAACCCCGGACCTTCCGCTCTCCGGGCGGACGCTCTACCACTAGACCATGGAGGCGGTCCACGAAACAGTGGACAGGTAGACGGATAGACACCAGGTGTCCAATGTGTTGTAGTGTGACACATACTGATAACGTACTCCCTCATGTGGTTCATATTTAGATATATGCATAAACATTGAGAGTGGCAAGAAAACAGAAAAGAAACCAACATTGGAATTTTCAATTTTGTAAACCACTATCCCACATAAAAAAAATCCTTATTGTGATTCTTGGGGCATTTGTCACTAAATGCGTTGACCATTTAAGTGGTTACATATCCGTCTTCATAGGTTCAGGACAATTTATCAAATATGAAAGCATATTGTCATCTGAAATTTACTTACTTAAAAAAACAATATGTGTAACGCTGGACTTCATCAATAATAATATCTGTGTATGTGTAATTTAGGGGTGAGCCATTTAGGCAAGAAGAAGGCACCTAAAATGGGCACCAATTGTGTCTTGCCGATTTTGTTGTTTTTGCATATGGATCAGAATTTTTGCTCGAATTGGCAAAGTGAAAACAAGGTAATTTGGCCAAGAAGCGTAACTTATGCTTCAGGTATACCGACGATCTAATACCGTTCAATAACCATAAAAAAGCCAACTCCCTGCCACTGATTTATCCACCTGATCAAGATCAAAAGATACCAATGAGACCGCTTCGTCTGTTTCATATTTAAAAATATAGTTATTTGCAACAAAAATCCAAATGGAGTCCAGGAAAGAGGCCATCAAGACTTGCCAACTCATTTCTAAATTAGAGTTAGGCGCCTTTTTTTATTTTATCTCTTGTGTCTGGGAGAGACGGACAAGTCAATGCATAGAGATTGTTAAATGGCAGTGTATTTTATTGTTGAACAATGATTGTAACTGTGTTACATTGTTTCTGTTGAGATTCGGTAGACGCTCATTGCATTGTATTTGGACAATGAGAATATTCTGTAATGTTCTAGTGCCGCTAGACTCGTGAGGGCACTGTGTAGAAATATCCAGTGGCTAGTTCGGCTGTATTTTAGGGGACAAAAGCCTGTTTACCTATCTCTGACACATTTCATCACACAGTTTCATCTGAGAATACATCAAGGCAAGCTTTCGTGTGAAGATCCCCCCGATTCCCCACCTAGGTCCATCTCGGAAGCTTGACCACCGTCGCCGCTGGGTGAATATATATTATTATCACAGACTTTTGCTATCAACACTGTAATTAATTTTCTAATGCAATTATTTATTGTATACCATTTGTTGCTTGTGTGTTGGTTTCACACTAAGTTCTTTTAAGTTCAGATTTCTGGGTTAACATATTGTTTCAATTTGAGAATCGACACGTAACAGAAATTGGGGGCTCGTCCGGGATCGAAATTTATATCACCAATATTTGTCAAAATTATTGCATAAACATTTTATTGTCTAACATTGCGTGAAGCCAATAATCACAATGGTGTTAAGTGTAGAGGAATTTCTTAGCCATCCTTCAACGAAACAAGTCTCTATGCTCAAAAAGTCTGAATTGGTCGAATTGGCCAAACATTACAAACCTGACATTAAATCGGATTTGCTTCAGGCCGATGTCAAGAACATTCAGATAACTTACCTGGTTGAGGAAGAAATTTGGAATGACGATGCTTTGGCTTTGATTGAAGCAAAAATTGATGATTTGGCTTTACAGAGATTAGAAACTGAAAGAGAAATTCGGCTCAGAGAATTAAAGGCCGAGTTTGACAGATTGAGAGACGAAACAAAAAAAGAGAAAGGAACAGAAAAACTGAGATTGACATTGGAAGGTGA